TAAACACCCATCTAAGTCTAGCATAGTTTTTTCAATCCTTTCGCGCGTCTTAACCTCCCGTAAAGACTCAGCTTTAAGCTTAGCAATTTCAACTCCACGCTCGGCATTCTCAGCTTCGCGTTTGGTGCTTTCTTCCGTAACCTGTTTTAAAAGCTCGGCATTCTTGGCTTCAAGCTCAGCCTTTTCGACTTCAAGCTCAGAAATTCGTTGTTTTAGTGAATCAGTCTCAGATTGCATGTTTTAGTGATAGATTTTATATATTTATTATTTATTTAAAATGTATAAAGTAACAAAAATTTCAGCGACGGCCCGTCATCAAAAATTCCAATAAAATATTGCATAGTAGCATGGAACAAAAATAAACTGTTTATATGATTGATGAAACAAGTATTCATAAATTTATTTTCGTATTTTTTACTTTGTTATCAAACATGATAATACATTTTTTCATAAAAATCGGAGCAAAATTTATTCATTAATCAGATCGAATGAAAGAGTTTTGCTCGCTTTTTGCATAAGTGGCTGTGATACCTTTTTTATGTTTGTCTTTTTGTGGGGTAAATGGATGTGGTGGCAGAATACCGGAATGAAGATTGGACTCATTTACGTCCGAATCGTTATGTTCTTCAAGTAATTTATAAATGAGTTCAAAAACTTCCAGTAACCAGCACTAATAAAATAAGAAAATAAGTTGATGATAAAGTATGATAAACATTAAATTTGTTAAAAGGAATATTACCCTAAGATCCCATAAAACAACAACGAAATTGAAGATGCATTTCCTCTCTTCTTCGAAGCAAATAGGAACAGTTGCCCTATGTGTTCGTTCATATTGTAAAACGCCACAAGATGGGACATACATTCTCCACAATTCAATCCGATTCTCTATGAATGCAAAAAATAAGTAACAAAATTGTAGAAGAAAGCTTTAAAAACATGCTATCAAGTACCTACCGTATGTATGTAGAGAAAAAACGCTTATTTTTGAGAAGGTTTCACAAGAAGCACCTCGAAATTTCTCTCCAATCTCTTCCAGCATGTATGCGTTTCCAATTGGCAACTTGCAACAGCCATCCCAGGTCGATCGAGAGAAGTCTTTGTGTCCATGTCCGCCACTCATTTCCAAGTGTCCGACTTCAACAGAAGATTTCTTCAATCGTATAACAAAAACTCCATCTGCTTTTTGCTCGAACAGAGTAGTGCATCTGCGTCGTTCACGACATGATTTGACTGATGACAAGATTTTCTCCCCCCTTATATAAAAATCATCAGGCATAAACGATTATTACCAAAATTATTATAATGGAGATCAAGAGTTAATCACTTACATATGGTAATGCACACATTTTTCCAAACCGGAGAGCATACATTTCAAAGAAGGGTGAATAATGTAGCCCCCATAATCAGATTCTAACATGTTTGGTTGTTGAACAACCGAATCATCTGGAAATACGTCCCGGTGACTGTGTAAAGAAAAAATTTTAGTACAATAGTATATAGCAAACCAGTGTCAACTGTAATATGCTTACAATATTGCTAAAATTTTAATAAAAAAATTCGTGAAAGGATCTTGAAGAGAAGACAATGTGTAATTTATTTTGAGTTCTTCCTGGAGAATTTTTTTACTGTTTTCATTGTCGATTTCATTGGTATTTATCAAAACCTGGATTTTCTCCATTTCTCGCTTTAAAAATTCAAGGGATTTCTATTGCAAAGAGTAATTTAGAACACCTCAAAAATAAAAGAATAAATTGCGTGAAAAAATAAATACATACCAGTTTTAAAAGTTTGGATATACTTTCAGGACAACTGGAAATAGTTGCACGTCTTACATATTTTTGAATTTCAGAATATTCATCAGCGTCACACCATTCTGGCTTTGCAATTCTAAATCCACAACGAACAATTCCCCAAACTTCGGGCCTAAAAATAAATTAGCATCAATATAGATACAGACATTAATCATTGATGATAATCTATAATTTACCTGAGAGGGTGCCCTGTTTTATTAGCGAATTTAGCCAAAAGATCAGTAACTACTTTACCAGAACCTAGTCTCCATTGTCTCCAAATATTTTCATTAAAGAGACGCTCAGATGATGGTATTGTCAAATCTTCGTCGGTTTCCTGAAAGGACAGATCGAGATCGATTTCTGTCCCTTCTTCATAATTTCCAAGACCTCCATCATAATTTATGCTCTAAAAAAATAATCGAATTAGCTTTTATCAAAAATTATTTAAAAATTTTTTTTGTCTCTAACCTCTACCGAAAAAAATGTAAAATCTGAATCCATTGATATGTTATCACTCGATTTCGTCTGGAAAAGTTGCATAAATATTATTAATAAATGTTGCTAATAAATTATTTGATCTCGGAAAAAATTTGCAAATCTTATAATCTCACCCGTTTAGTTGGTGTAGTTTCTCCATCATTCTTCCGTTTACGAACTAAGTTGATATCCTTTTCTTCATAACCCGAATTGTCATTAATATAAGCAGGTGCACTATTACTCATCAAAGCCTCTCTATTCTGAGGATGCCATAAAAAACAATATATCCATGAACACAAAAATCTCTTTTGCATAATTATACATTTCCTAAAGCTCTACCTTTTCATAATCCTTAGGAACAATGACTGATTCTGTCACTGCATCATCGATATCATTAAGTATCGCTTTACGAACTTTTGACATTGATTCTGATCCATCAGCAAAGGTGGAAATGGTGGCCTCACTCTTATATATTGTAAAATTGTGTTAGTTGGATTAGTAACTGGAAAAAATTCTTAAACTTACCCTCATTTGGTTAATGGTGGCATGAGTCTTCACAGTTGTAACAAGTTTCTTGCATAAAGGTAATAAGACGAAAAGCAATATTATTAGCATATTATTCCAGGAGTTTCAACTACAAGGAGTCTTTGTTGTATGACCGGGAAAACCAGTCAAAGCACCGACCAAGAGTCATAACCATACAACCAAGAGTAATATGGGTAGATGCTATGACACACGCAACCAAAGCACCGACCAAGAGTCATAACCATACGACCAAGAGTAATATGGGTAGGTGCTGACGCGTAGCTCCACTTTTACAAGTTCTAACGACATTTTTATTTATATACCTTCCAGTCTGAAACCAGAAGTTCTTCAGCTTTTTGAGCATCATGATCTTCCATTTTCGCACGTCGTTGAAGATCCTTCTTAATATTGTCAAGAGTACGACAAATGTCGTTGTCGTAGTAGTGTACTGCAATCGCGTCAAAAGTCCAGTATTCCGCGGGTTTTTTAAAGAAGGACATGATTATAAATCAGTTACACGATTCTATTACTATTTATATATTAGGTAACAAGAACCGTGACAAATGAAATGTCACGATAATTTAAGACGGTTTAAAAAACAGAGGACTCGATTCCCGGTTCATAGTTAAATTAACAAAGCGCGTGCCATAATTATTCATTTTTTGCAAGAAATTTCGACGACGGCCCGTCGTCAAAAAATTCTCGGTCATATATAACATCAATAACAATATACGAATTGTGCGTAACGCCGATCACTTTTGCCAAGAAAAAAATAATATACACACTCTGCTGATTCCGTGATCGTACCCTGATCGCTCATATAATTTAGTATAATCACGATTTTCATCATCCACTTTCGTTCCTGATGCAATTAACCAGCGAGTAAAAATTATTCTGGAAAATAAACACGTGATTTTCGGCGAACATTTTTGACGATTAGTTCGCTAAAATTTTGCCAAGAAAAATTCTCGATCATATATGCATTGCACAAAAAATAACACATGATACGTTGTACGTTCCTCTAACGAAAAATCTTTATTGATAAATATACAGGATAAATATATAGGATAAATACATGATAAAAATCTATCTATTTATGGGATGGAGATGTTACTGTGGGACTTTGAGTAGCATTTCTTGGCGGACGTGTATTGGCTT